CTAGGAGCAGGGCAGAGGTGGCGGAAGCCCACAGCTGCATTGGCAGAGGCCCAAGTGATCTAACCGAGCGCCTGCCTACTGCTCAGGTTCACATGGTCAGCAGTGCGGCGTCTGTACAACCTGCTGGAGGCGACAGCAGGGCTGCAGGTCAGTTACACACCTGCTTGGCCGAGAGCTCCGAAACCGACGTGACCGGACGGCTGGAGTCCCCGCCCCACGCCCTTGTGCCGCGGTTCTGAGCGAGCCCCACATGCTGGTGCAGCGGGATGCTGCCACCGCACGACCAGACCATCTGGGGGGCCGTCAGGCCCCTTGACACTGACTGGGGATCGTTTCGAGAACTAAATTATTCTGGGGCCGCAACCCCCTCCCGCACCGTTCTTGCTGCTCCACTTCTCCCCGGCAGAAAACAGGCTCGACAGTGGCTGGGCAGGCGCCGGACTCACCTTTCCCGTCATCTTTTGAATCTCATTCCGGTAGAAGATCAAACTTCGCCGCATGAACTCGTAGCTGGCAGACAAGGAGCAGAGGGGCCGGGCTGAACGGGGGCTGCAGAGCCCAAGATGGGCCCAGCTCCGTCCCCGCTGCAAGAATGTGCAACAGCCCTGGTGGGGTGCAGGCAGCCACCCCCCCCCCTTCACCGGAACGACCAGGCTCGTGGGAGCTGCCTCTCCCCAGGGCTCAGCCTGCAGCTTCCTGGCAGCAGTGCCTGTGATAGGACCTTGCCCCAAGCAGTGCTCAGGAGGGTCACCACCCGGCCCGAGCTGGGAGGTACCGGACACGTCTCTGCAGCCAGGCCAGTGCTTTGCCCTGTGCTGCACCGGGCCCACCGTGCTCCCTTCCTCCCTCCCTGCATCGGGATGCGCCTGGCGAGGAGCCGACCTTTCGCCATCCTAGGGTGTGCCACGAACGTATATACCAGCGCGCTGGGGGCAGCCTCCCCAGCCCTACCTGGCTCGCCGGAGAGCCTCGATCCACTCCTGGCACTGCTCCTCCGTGTCGCACTCGAAGGAGTACTTCCGGTCGGGCTCCTCGATGAAACCTGCCGGGGACACGGAACGGAGGGTTGAGAGACGCTCCCTGTGCCCACCCGCCGGTGTCACCGCCAGCCCCCCGGGCCGGCCCCAACTGCCCCTTCCTATTTCAGCTGGAAGGGCCAGAGCTCTGCTGACATATTAGAAGGACCAGGCCCCCGTGGGCCCAGCCTCAACCACCCTCCCTGTAGCAAGGGACAAGAGCCTCCAGCTCCCGCGTTCCAGGGAGCCCTCCTTGTTTGAAATGCCCTAGGTGCGGTTCTTGGAAGGGCTGCTCAGGAAGCCCCTGGGACAGCCGGGGCAGCAACGTGCTCAGAGCCATCCCTCGTCTCACTGGCACGGCCCAGCAGCCCCTGAGCGACCCACCTGGCCAGGGAGTTACGGTGCAGCTGACTGAGGAAAGGTCACTGCAAGTGGCACAGACCCAGGACAAGGGACTCCTCTCCCCTTAGCGCATGGCCCATGCCTAGTTCTATCTGCATGGCTCATCCCGAAAGTTACCCTGCCAACGAGCTAAACAGGAATCTGCTCATGCACCACTGCCGTGCAGCTGCCTCTGGGGTGGAACGGGGCGGCTGTTCAGAGCACACCTGTTTGGGAGAGGCACCACCTCTCAAAGCTTCAGCATGGACCATCATGGAGGACATAGATCCAGGGGTGGGGAACCTCAGCCCTGGGGCCCGGATGCGGCCCCTGAGGCTGAGTCCCCTCCCCCAATGCATTGGGAAGCCTGGTCTGGTGCTCCAGCCCCCCCTCCCCTACTGCCCCCCACCAGGCAGGAGCACCCAATCTACTCGGCTGGGCCCCCCAGGCTGGGGGGTGCGGGGAATGTGGGGTGTTTTCAGTCAGTGAGGGGGTTTTGTGCAGCCCCCCGACGCACAAAGCCCGGATGCGGCCCCTGAGGCTGAGTCCCCTCCCCCAATGCATTGGGAAGCCTGGTCTGGTGCTCCAGCCCCCCCTCCCCTACTGCCCCCCACCAGGCAGGAGCACCCAATCTACTCGGCTGGGCCCCCCAGGCTCTGGGGGGCGGGGGATGTGGGGGGTTTCCCCCCCGACGCACAAAGTTCCCCGCCCCTGCCATGGATACGTTGGAATTGGACCAGGCCGCTGAGCCGAACGGCTCCGTGTTTGAAGAGAGCCGTCGGCTCGTCGCATGGGGCGCTGCACACGCACAGAGGGGAAGCAGGAACCGACTCTCTCAAAATCCGGCCCAGCTGACCAGTGAAAAGCTGACTCCCTGTGTGACGCTAATCACAGAATCCTAGAACCCCAGGGCGGGCAGAGACCCCAGGAGGCATCGAGTCCAGCCCCCTGCCCGAAGCAGGACCAACCCCACTCAGTCAGCCCAGCCAGGGCTGTGTCAAGCCGGGACTTAAACACCTCTAGGGATGGAGATTCCCCCCTCCCCAGGGCACC